CCGCTACAGGCTTGGGGTTTGATGAAAGCTTGAAGTTTTGTCCATCTTGGAATGTGGGCTTGACGTAATGATAATTCGAGTCGAACCATTTTACCATCTCCTGTACGACTGTAAGCAAGTTTCTAGAATCGTGATCAGGATGGAATTCAACGGACCAAACTGGGAACATCGACTGCGGCAGCTTCGGGTGTATGAGGGCTCTGCAGGCCTCTACCCATAGCGAAGAACTCATCGATTGGGTCCAGATTGTGTTTAGAGTACTTTTCGGGTATGGCCTGCGACTCGAATTAGCCACCAAACCCCATTCACGCACACTGCGCACAGACGATGCCAACTAACCCCGAATAGCTGGATGTGGTCTAACACATGGTCGTAGAATGAGAAGTCATTGCTGGGAATGATGTTGATGCCGGCCTCTTTCTGTATCTTCCAGTGCTCTCCACGGAGACGCTTTCCTTCGGCGAGAAGCTCTCTTTGTGATATCTTACCACCCCAATATGACTCTGTGGCTTTCTTGAGGTCTCGATTGACTCCCATGCGAGGGAATCCAAGAACGGAGCTGAACAGATCTTGAGCAGGTATCTCCGAGTACAAAGGGTGGATCTTTGCTTACGATTGAACCATTTTGGCGGTCAGCTTTCGAAACAACTTGAATTGGAACAGACGAGGTTTGAAGGATTGGAAGAGGAGATGTGGAATGAAGATTGGATTAGAACGGTTATCAGAATGGTGATGAAGAGATAAAGGAAAACTGTTTGTAATAAGAAGGTGTGAGAGGTGAAGGATGAGAGACGAGAGATGAGAGATTCGAGGTGAGATTCGGCGAGATGTGCGAAGTTGAGACCGACCTTTACCCTGAGGCTATGTGTCTGTTTGTTAGCGCCCCACAAATTTCGTGCTTCCTCGGCCTTTTCATTCGCTTCAGACTCGAAGAAGGATCAGCCGGTTATTCTAACCCTAATCTGTTATCGCCTTTGCAGGGATATTGCTGACACCAGCTGAGGTGATGATGGATTCATCGCATCCTTCTTGCCTTTTCAAACTATTAGTCCTCAAGCCACTGCTACTTCATTGGCTCCCTACACAATTTTTAGTCTCTTCGCGTACACGGCTGGTATGAAACAAAAGAATCGACAGTAATAACCATGCCGATCATTATCATCCCAACTTGGTGTCCGCCCTCCCGCGAGCATTGGGAGCTCGTCACATTCCTCTGGCAGTTCTTCCCGATCGTACGTTATGCCATCCGCAAAGATCGAATGTCTTTCACTAATCCAAGCTACGCAGTTCACCTTGTTCCAATGGCTCGTCAAGTACTATCCCATGGGCAAGACCTCGACCGCATCTTCCTTCAATGTCCCCGGCAAGATTGGGTGGGCTACTATGGAGGCGCCTGGCTTCATCACGCTTTTGTACTTGATGTACGCTCTGCCGAAGCAGGAGGGGATTGAGAGTCTTCCATTCACCAATTGGACTATGGCTAGTTTATTCGTGAGTACCCCCTCGCTGCCTTGAAGACATTGACACTGTGCGTTTGATGACCAATGTTGCTTACCCTTTGTGTTCCTAAGGCGATTCACTACATCTACCGCGCCCTCATCTCCCCACTGTTTCTGAACCCGTCAATGTCACCTATCCACATTTCAGTCTGGGCTTCGGCGCTTAGTTTCCAACTGATTAATGCCACGTGCATTGGAGGCTGGCTCGGCGGATACGGCCCCACGACACAGGACGAATGGACCGGTGCTGCGATGAGACTTGAACTCGGCCTTATGATCTTTGCAGTTGGTCTCTTGGGCAACATGTATCACGACGACGAGTTGCGCGAGATCAGGAGGGCTGCAGCGCGGAATCAGGAGAGAAAGCAGAAGGCTCGGGGCGAGAAGGGCGATGGGAAAGGTGTCGAGAAGGTGTACATGGTCCCTGAGAATGGCCTCTTTCGCTTGGTGTTGTTTCCGCATTATCTGTGTGAATGGATTGAGTGGGGTGGATTCTGGATGATTGGGGGAATGGCCTGTGTGCCAGCGAGGACGTTTTTAATCAATGAGGTGGCCACCATGCTGCCGAGGGCCCTCGATGGCAAGCAGTGGTATATCGAGAGATTTGGAAAGGAGAAGATAGGAAGCAGGAAGGCTATCATACCAGGCATACTATGAGATGGAGGGAGGGCTTTACCCACCCAGTCATGCCATTACACTGCGATGACGAGGCCGGCCGCTGTTCGAACGTTCGGAGGTTGGATACTGGGAGAATGAGCCAATACAGTATCGAATTGATGAGTTTCACCCCCGGAGAAGATGGTACTAAAAACCAGAATACGTGCCCGAGCAGTGCCGTGTTAAAGCACTAGGCGCTGCTCTAAGAGTGTTCTACACTACGATTCAACGCACGAATAGACACATGACCCACCGTCCAGAAATATGATGACACGGGCCTGCTGTATCTTGACAATGTGACATAAAGATCAGGTGAACTTTCTTGACGTTTCAGTTACGTAAAACGCATACTATTTGTCGATAGTGGCAACGAAGAAGGCGTGTCCATCGATGCATCAGTCCTGTTAACGACGTGCACACGCCTCCAAGAGCCTGGCACAACCTGAATCAGTTTGTGCGAGCAGCCGCGAAGGAAGGGAATCTTTGATCTTGGCAAGGAGTGACACGGTTGCTTAAAAGGGAGATAAGACAAGTGCTCCATAGCCTAGAAGAGGGTGTGGGGATCCTTCTTCCATGGCGGCGCTCCGGATGTTGCAGTCATGAGGCGTATGTATGTATGTAGATGGGAGTGCATGGGCATGTATGCAAGTCGGAGGTTTCGTAGAACTGCCTACTTTTGTTAGACTATCCTCCGATCATTCTCCGGCAGTAGTTCCGATTGAACTGAATTGTAATGTGAGCACTTGAGTTCCTTTGGTGCATTGAAAAGACTCGTCAGAAGAACGATTCGCTTAGGACAACGAAGCGATCATCTGAACTTAGCCATGATTCATGGCTTTCGAGGGAAATCCCTTTGTAAGAAAGTCGTTTGAGGCGTATGCACCTCCCAGCGCGCAGCTTGACCACAACTTTCGCTAGTGTATTTGAGGCCCCTTTTTACGCACGCCACGTAGGTCCCCTTTGCGACCCCAGCTCTGGATTGATTCATTTATCATTACACTAATGAGAGGAAAGCCTGATGAGCCAGAGGTGTGGAAAGAAATCTCCACCCAAAAAGGTATTATTCGACCGATAATGCCTCAACTGCAGTGGTGGCATTGCTGGCGGGGTTGGACAGACGATTCGGGCTTGTTGCATAATGTACTCCTCCACCCCGAGACGACTGCATATGCATCAACAATCTGCCGTAGAGTTAGCGCACCACCCGGCTCATGCCGACTCCTCGTAACTGGACAAGCGTGGCGAGGCGAGCGATCTGTCGATGGTGCAAAGGGGAAAGGGAAGGGGGAGAGTCTAGCCAACATGCTGATGGGTCCGGAGAAAGCTGTTAGTTCAGGACGGGAAAGCTGGGGAAGCGAGTTGGAATGGTATGATTGGCTGGAAGGGAGGCTTAGATGATGCATGTATGCAAATCTTGGGATGCCAAAGCGTCTCAGTGTGGCATGGGGAAATGCGTATCTAGTCATTACGCCTCCCGTTGCTTTCTTTCCTGCCTCCACTGTTCGACTGTTACCAAATATTCTCGTTCAAGACCTTGGTCGCTTAGCTCAGACGTTGAAGCGATGGGATTTGCATGATGGCAGGTGGTTGAGGCGAGAATCCGAATGTTTGCCCTGCATGTCCGGTGAACAAGATCGGTAGGTCAATTGCAAGGAAACGCTCATCGAAGATGAGCCAAGCTCTGCCAAGCTCTGCCAGAAAGACGGCCTGCATAATTTGCATTATTCGCGATTGATGATAGGCGTTCAGCCGGCTAGCCTTGATAGCGGTTGGTGCCAGAATGATATGCATCCATACTTAGTGGGATCACCGCAGAGATAGTGCAACAACATGGGTTCCTCGACTTAGGCTTAGAAATCCCTTCCCTTCCCTTGATTGTAGGGATGATAGCCAATGACAAGCCCGACGGAAATTTGATTCAACGCTGAGCTAGCACCTTTCAGACCTTCGGGGTCTTGAGCAAGCCTCAAGGTGACACAAGGTGTTACGCTAAAGCCCATTTTTTACTTCCCTTTCCGCTCGCCGCCTTTCGTAGCTTTGGCTTATTTGCGGGGCGGCCTTAGGCTTGAAGAATTTGACCTTTTTTTTTCTACTCTCCAGCTCTACTAACTAATGTACTACTGTCTCTGCCTCTTTTCCCCCCCCCCCCAATTGCTTTCTCAAGCTGTTCAACAATTCTTCTCTGCTCCAAATTGATCTCAACGCTCTTTCATTCCTTTGTCTCTACCGTTATTTCCCCCTTTTACCGTTCGTCTTTAACATAAAGCGGCTCATCGAACATCCTTCGACGTCACTAAAAAAGAGTGGGGTGCGAAAAGCTTGTCCATTGTCCATTGTTCTGAGAACACACCAACCACTCCTGTTCTCTTCCTTACTGTTCAATCCATATTCTTTCATCACTGTGGGCTTTCACTCTCTCCTTCCAGCTATTTCGAGTCCTCGAAAGACAGTGCTGAAGCCTGATTAGATATACCGGCTCACGATATTTAACGCGCCAACGCCAATACACTCCCTGACCATTCCTTGACACATCTACCCGTCGCGAAACCTTGTGGGAGAAGTATTCGGACGTCCGAGTTTTTTTGGAATACCGCAGAGACCTTCCACTGCCACCCTTTCACCGGAGCCCAAAGATTCAGTCCTTCCAGGACACCTTCTTCAGCATCCGCCTCGGCAAACACACATCGGCTGGCAGCTTTCTGGGACACAATGACCTGCAGAAGGGGCATGAATTTCTTCCGACCTCGATAACATCTAGTTGGTATCAGAAGGCTACATATTATTTTGATCCAGGACTTGAACTTTCTGATCGAGTGGGAAAGCAAAGTAACCCAAGAGAGCAGAATGGCTACTACAGATACGGCGGAAAGGGTCGGGGAACATGCAGGCGAGGAAGTGTCAGTTGGAGGGAAATTGCCCACAACACCTCCATTGTCAACAGATCCGTTGTGTTGGGATGTCGTCGGGTCCAATAACGTCACTTTCCAACCCTATGATCAAGTGTTTGAGGCACCGCACTTGAAACGAATTGATCTAGTGCACATGAAAATTGATTCACCAGCGATGGAAGAAGATCATATGCAGACGCCAAGGCTGGAGCATCCGCCATTGGTAATTGAATCCCTGGTGTCAAGGCTGTCTCAACCTGAGCAAAATGAAGATCAGCAACAATGCCAAGGGAACGGAGAGGAAGATGTCATAATATCCGGACACCCAGACTATTTCACTCAAAACGTTCCGCAAGACTCGTTTGTTGCCGATATCTCTCGAACACCATCCTCGTCCAATGTATCGTCAACTGGACTGAGTGGTTCCTCGAATAGTCAACTTGACAGTTCTTCCACACCGGTCTCTCCTGATAGTCGTGTAAGTGCATGGAAGGATTACATGCCTTCATTCAATCCTGAAAGTAACAGACCTGTTTCTGTTCCCAACTTTCAAAGTAAAACCTTGTCCCGGCGCCGAGATGGACCGGACTATCCCAATTACCCAGATCAATCATTCAAGGCTCTGCAGAATCAACATTATCCTCCGCCCTACCAACCAAGCGAACCTCAGCATCTACGCACTCGAAGCTCTCATCCTGCCCAGAATCTGTCCTTTTCCTCGAGCGATGAGAAACCTGCGCGGGGCTACCCACAAATTCCTTCAGGAGCAAAGACAGCTGGCAACACGCCGGCACAGAGTCCTGGATTATTCACGCCCATGTTGTCGAAGAAGCACTGGACGGGTGAGCCCGACGAGACGCGTTCAGGCACTCCTATGCTCCATCCCGCCCATTTACAGGCGCCAAAAGAGTAAGGATTACCCTGATTCATAGCTCGTCCAAAACAGGGTCTGAGTTCTTACATAATCTTGCTAACATGCCGCAGAACACATAAACTGCTGAAAGATATTGATCCTATATCTGGCAGAAAGACCATCAATCACTATGAACTACTGGAGAAACTTGGAAGCGGTAACCATGGTACCGTGAAGCTTGCCCGAGACTTGGTCACGGATACCTTGTGCGCCGTCAAGATTGTGCGGCGCTTTTCGAAGAAGTTGCGACTGGGCCGATCAGGAGATCCGAACGACATGATAAAGAAAGAAGTCGCCATTCTCAAAAAAGCTCGACATCCGAACGTTGTCAGCTTGCTTGAAGTCATTGATGATGACGAATGGGGCAAAGTTTACCTGGCCCTCGAATATGTCGAGCGAGGAGAGATTGTTTGGCGTAAACCAACTGACAAGGATGTTGCGCTATTTGAGATGGAGCGTTGCGAACGCGAGTTGGCAAATGGCCTCAGCGACGACCACGAGAGAGCGGCTATTGAGGAGTTCAACCGGTTGGCACCGTCAAGACGACACGAGAAAGCCCAACGGCTCGCAGATCAGGAACGCAGGGATAAAGAACGCTCTGGTTGCGGAGGTGCCCATCGCGAAGCACGAAACCCCGGCTTCGATCCTTACTTCTCTCTGGAGTACGGTGGCGCATCCGAAGATGAGGCCGTTGCAGAACCCATAGGCCAATTTGCAGCTCAGATCCAAGGTAAAAAGCAGCCGACAAACAAGCCAATGCCGGTAGACTCGACAGATGGTTTGCCTCAGAGTGAGACGCCAATCCACACCCCGAAGCCAGTCTCATACTCACTAGACACAGCCAGCACGCCCGCGAGCGCATCATCCTCTCGCCCCGAGACGCCGGCACAGTATGGAGGTCCGACGTCAGGACTAGAGGTCAAAGAAACCGCTAAAGATGTCGAGTTGCAGTCCTTGCTAAACAAGATCATCCTCGGACAACAGGATTGGAATGGAATCGATGAAAATTTCCGCTACGTGCCATGCCTTACGTTGGCCCAAGCTCTGGATGCATTCCGTGATACCGTCCTTGGGCTGGAATACTTGCACTATCAAGGCATCATTCATCGTGACATAAAGCCTGCTAATTTGTTGTGGACAACGGGCTTTCGTGTCAAAATCTCTGACTTTGGAGTATCCTACCTCGGCAAGCCCATTAGAGAAGATGACAACAACGAAGAGATTGCTGAAGCTGACGCGGAGGTACACGATGAAGCCATCGAGCTTGCGAAAACGGTGGGCACTCCAGCTTTCTATGCCCCAGAGCTTTGCGACCCTCATTATTTCGAAGTCGGTGGGGACTCTGATCGTCCAGCAATCACTGGTCAGATTGACGTTTGGGCTCTTGGAGTTACACTTTATGCAATGGTCTTCGGACGACTTCCTTTCTTCGACGGCAACCAGTTTTTAATGTACGAGAAGATAGCGCGTAACGAGGTCTTCATTCCTCGAATGCGCCTCAAAGGTGTTTCTCATGAGATCGCGAGCAAAGCATTCGGAACGGTCACGGATCGTAGAAAGAGATTCGATGATATCCTCGAGTACGAAGCTGTCAATGATGAGCTTCGCGATTTGTTGAAGCGCCTGCTCGAGAAGAAGCCTTCTAAACGCATCACCCTGAAAGAGGTTAAACATCATCCCTGGGTGCTTCAAGGCATTACAGATCGAACTCTCTGGATCGACGAGACTGATCCATCACTGCAAAGCGAAGGCAAGAAGATTGAAGTCTCCACGCAAGAAGTCCAGGATTCCGTCACGCCACTTACTGTTTTTGACCGCGTCAAAGCGGGTTTCCAGAGAGTCGGCTCTGTCTTACGAGGCCGTGGCTCTCAACATCGCAAGAGGACTAACAGCAATCCAAAAGCTCCTGATGGCGCAGGCTCAACGGCTGCTTCCAGGAATTCCCAGAGTGTCAAAGATGAGAGGAGGCCTAGTTTGAGGGGAGACGAGCAAATTCTACCTGCACTACGCGCATCGAGAGAGACCTCAGAGCATCCACTTGCGCAGAGTGTCGCAGCCAGCCCCGAATTGAAGGACAATCCCTCCTGTTATGACGACAGTGGAAACGCTGTGAGGCCTGCAAGTGATCCGCAAGCCAACCGACCAGTGCTCACTGACCGCACGCTATCCACCGCTGATTCCATGAAGACTATACGTGCTCCTGTGCCTGCCCTTCTCAGAGAAACCTCATCGCCAAACACTTCATCACCGAATGAAGACTTCTCGTCAGCGACCACCACTGTTGTTGACCCCACGTCAAACTCGTCATCAAGTCTTAGCAACGTGTTTTCGGGGGCAGGACGACGATTCGTGGGCAGTATGCGAACTAGAGAGCGAGGTGTTGGACGCCAGAGTCCCTCTCGATCAAGTCGCTCATCCTCTATAGGTGACAGCACTGAAGACTTTCATGCATCACCAAGCCTTGCTCTCTCGTCGGCCATTGCTGCCGGGCATGTGGACCAGCCCCCGGCTCTTCGTGAAGGACCCGACGCACACCCTGTGCTGCAGGATTCACCAAGTGAAGCGTTTCGGCGTGCACAAGAGCAGAATTACCGCCGCCAGACTTTTGAGCATGCGCAACGCAGAAGTCGTCCTCCAACAGTGTCCATGGATACAGATGTTGCCTGCCCACCCTCTCCAGACGATGAGGTCTTTCTTCCTCAGCTTCGTCCTACTTCAGCAGCAGACAGCACTTCGGCCTTCGTCATCTCTTCATCCTCGGACCAGATTGGTTCTGGTGAATCGATGGCTCACTCTCGTGTCCCTTCCGTCGTCAGTGGGGCCTCATCCCTATCTGTGCCTTTTGAAGAAGACGAAGAGACCCGGGCCCATGTCCTTGAAAAATACATTTCGCCCTTGACTATCGGTAGAAGGAGCGGGTCGCATCACCGTGGAACTGAAAGCGAAACGCCCAGACTAACTCCATCGATTGCGAGAGCCGCAGCGGAGAGAGCAGCAGCAGACGAGGATGACGCAGGCTACAACGGCGAAGGAGAACAAGACTCGGATAGTGAAGATGAAGGCCTGGCAATGGCCTGATCCCGCAGGAATTGGAAGAAAGTGAAGCCACTATACATATTGACGAACAGGAAATGATCAATTCGACATTCAGCGACGGCGCACACGGTGAGGGAGGATACCAACGATTTTGTAACGCAAAGGGTGTCACAGAATCTTCGCAATTACGATTTTATCTAGGGTTTGGTGGATGCAATAGACTTCACTTCTTCTTTCCTTACGGCGTATCTACACGCCGTCTATCTTTCTCTAGTGTCAACTCAACTCAAGTCGCACTGGACACAAAAGCGATGCCTGGAGTTTACATGCATCAAAAGACTTGACACAGCGAAGGTGGTATCAGTCACCCGGTTGCTAGGCCAGATGCTGTCATGACTGGCTGGCTTTATATAGATTTAGGGTCATTGACCTTGCTAGGTAGCTAGCTACGTTAATTGAATAATCTTTGATCTCAAGATCTCTCGCTGGATTGTCGTCTGACCTGCGGGACTGGGTGTCATCGGACAAGTACTCCCTTGTATTCTCCCCAGCCCCTATCTTGCAAACCTTTCCACTGCACCAGCACCCGGTCACAAAGACCGCACCACACGATGATTCTTCCACTCAAACTTGGCCGTTTGACCCGCGCCCAGGATTCAACATAGATCACCCGCATTTTGCCCGCGCTGCCCTGGCCTCGCACAGACTGCCTAGCTGGACCGACGAGAGGCAGGAAAGAGAAGTAGCGCAAGATCGTCGCCGCCAAAATCAGAACGAGAGAGGTAGCAGGCCCGTTCGTGAGTATGAGATCCGGATACCCTTTGGGATGCCAGTAGAGTAGCATGAGACCGGCGTAAAGACACCTCAGCGAGCTCGGCGGCGAGGTCAAAAGTGATTGATGTATCCGCCGAGCTCGAGGGACGGTGTGGATGCTATAGTCCCTCCTCAAGATCCCCGTCATCTCTTCCCCTTCCGCACCCGTCAAGCCGACAGTCCCTCGCCTCTTCTTCTCATCCCCCTCCTCCTCCCTGGCCGCAAGACCTCGCTCGAACCCCTGAGCTTTCCCAGCGCTGAAGTCGTCCCCGCTTCCGATCACGTAGGATCTGTATGTGTAACGGGCCGGATCGAGCGAGGCGAGGAGGGAGAGCATTTCGGCCGTGTGCCCGCCGCTGCCGAGGACGACGAGAAGGTGGGTCGGCGTCCCGCGTGCGCGTGGGGGTGGACGGCTGCGGTGGAAGGCGGGGAGGATGTAGATGAGACGGAGCTACGGGACAGGGTCAGTTGGGAGGATGAGCGTTGAGCGTTGGGGTGCTTTACGAAGGCCGTGGTCAGGAGGATGAGGGTGGAGGCGAGGATGTAGGCGAGGGATGGCATGGGGAGTGAGTGTTATGGAGTGTGCTTGGAGAGGTGTAAGTTGGGGGAGGGTGGTTTTGGCATGGTGGATTCAATCACGCTTGAGGTTCGAATGGTTGGAGTGAAATGAATGTGATTCAGTGAGGTTTTTTATTGACACTAGATATCATGTTGTCAGATTCACATTGATACTGAGAGTTTTATTGGAAAGCTTGCTTTCTCAATGCTCAAGACTTGAAAATGAGAATGGGTGCTACGCTAAGAAGCTAGTGACCAATCAGATCATCGGATTTCACCATTTTCAGTCTAAAACACACCTTATTTCTTCATTTTCGATCTAAACGCGGGTGCACACGGGTACGTCCAAAAGAGGAAGCTGGAAAAGAACTTCAAAATCCTCAAATCCACCTTTTTTGATTCCTTGTATTTTATCAAAAATATGATAATAAACTAAGTACGTAGAGTTATAGAATTACTTATACGCTTTCAAATAACGTAGCGTAGAGGAAATTTGATAAAGTATTCGTCTAATTATCGAGCTTGCGAGAAGAGCCTCTCCGGCAGGAGCCCTCGGAGAGCCCTCGGAGAGCCCCCGGAGGGTCAGGGGGGTTTTAGGGGGTCTCCCCCTAAGTATATCAAATAAATCACAACATCTCTCTCGATTCTCAGGGTTAGATCCCTTAAAATCCCTTAAACCCTTCGGAGCTCTTTAAGGGCTCTCCGAGAGCTTCTGTCGAGGGGCTGTCAAAGCAAGCTCGAAATCAATCAAATATCACTAAAATAATCAAATTTCGAGCTTGCTTTGACAGCCCCTCGACAGAAGCTCTCGGAGAGCCCTTAAAGAGCCCCCGAAGGGTTCGAGGGGTTTTAGGGGATCTCCCTGAGAATCAAAAATAGTTAAAAACCAGTACTTGGCAAGCTTTTCACTACTGGGAAGGACACGCCCCAGCACATATTTGAACTGCTGATGTGTTGAATTGGAATGTTGAGACATTGGGACTGCAACCATGGACAAGACAACATGCTGAGTAGACTTTTACACTTACAGCCATCTGTTTCCTGTCCGTTTGTAGCTTACCGCTGCATCAATGGTCTCCGCGCTCTTGATTGAATAAGAAATCTGGAAAAAGATCGTGGATTCTTTAGTCACATCTCCGGCCAAATTTTTTCTAAACTCCGAACATTATCAACCCCTCCAGTCTTGCATCGAACCTTCAATGGCATTTCTATTCCGGGGGAAGCTCGTATGCTTCTACTGCGGCTGCAAATCAGCTAAGACGCGAACGCCCAATGTCCGCCGATGGCAGTGTGCACATTGTGAGGCCGAAAACTACTTGGATCAGGTGCCTTTGTTTACATACCCTCCCTACGATACCCTCGCTGACGTGCTACACTATAGAATGGCGAAATCACAGACCCTCCGGCAGACGATGTCTCATCCAACGCTCGCTATGCACAACCACTTGCTCGGCAAACTTCTGCAGTGTTCCAGACACCTGACGACTCCCTGTTCTGTCCAACGTGCTTGAAGAATCAGCATCTCGTGTCGCAGGCATTGGCTTCTTACTTGCCATCTCCCGATGCGCCAGATTATGCGGAATACGTCAAAGCAGAAGATGAGTACCTGAAGGGGCTGGAAGAGCGATACCCGCAAGTATGCAAGAGATGCGAGCCGAGGGTGCAGGAGAGGATACGAGCTGCAGGGTATGCAGCGAAGACGGATCATCTAAGAAGGATGATGGACAGGACTAGAGGATGTGGCATACAGTACAGAGACACGAGCTGGGGAAGTCCCCTGGTTGCTCTGGGGGGCATTGGCTGGTTTCTAAGCTTGACTGGCCAAACCTTATGGGATGGGCTGTCCCTCTTGAATTCCACGGAAGAGCGCCATGGTCTCCGAGATCCACGAGATCCCGCATCAGGTTCAACGTGTCTACAGCAGGTCATGAGGGGTACAGGCTCCGTATCGGACTGCACTGAGAGTTTGTGCTCTGCTGCTGGGATGGCCTTACTTCTTGGCTTTCTGTCGTCGTGGTGGCATCCAATGCTTCAAGAATCATTGAGAAGAAAAGGAGGCCGAGCAGTTGGTACATCAGAATTCTATCAGCTGCAGGGCATGCTCCTTATCGTCAGATGCGTTACATGGCGGTATCTTCAAGGCTCTGACCTCAAAGCGCATGTGACTAAGGCTGCTCATCTGTCGCTGCTCGTTCTTACTACGATTGTAAGTATTCGACCCGCAGACATGGTATTTGAGGCTAATATATTCCCAGATAACCGTCAAGTCCTTTCGCTCCGTTCGGATGGACTACTCGGCTCCAGTCAAATTTCAAGACAGTCCCGGGCCTTTGGTATCTCAGATGACCCAGCAGAAAGTGGCGGGCGTGAGAACAGGGGATCTTGGTTACGTCCCTCAACAGCCGAATATACCAATGACTCGCAACGATGGTGGTACACGTCCATTCTCTATTACGGATTTTGCACCACTAAATCAGCAGCGACGTCCAGCAATATACCAACCTCCTACTCCTCCACCGGATGATGACGATAATGAAGCCATGGATTGGACTCCTTCGCAAGAAATTAGACTCCTGCGTCCAGCAGCGTCACATCGCACTCCCAACGCGGTGTCCCAACAGCCACAGTCATTTCCGTACCCTGAAAATCTTCCAGCTCAAAGTCTTCGCAACCCGCTAAGTCAGCCTGTGTTCCGTAGTAGCCCCGAAACGCGATATCAGGAGTCCTTCAAAACCCCCAAGAAATACACCATGCGGGACTCACATGATGAGTCTCCTTTTGTCACCCCATATGAGCCTTCGCTTGCAGCTGGTAGTCCGGAGCTGTCCCCTATAAAGTTTGCTCAACCTAGATTCTTCCCACCTACCGATCGCGAAGATCTTGGACTCGAATCTCTCATGGCGAACAACTTCTCACTTGCCGAAGAACCTCGCGAGGTCCGTGCACGCCAACAATATGGAAAACACGAGAATGAAACGCAGTCAAAATTGGACGCTGTTTATGCACAATTGCACGGACCGGTGGCCTTGCTTCTTCTTACCATCTCATTCATGGTCTGGACCAGCACACCAATACCATCTCTTGCCGCCTCCCGAATCCACTCGGGGCTCGCAGCTTTAGGCATTGCGGCTCTTGTCATCCTCAAATCTCTCCTGCCGGCAGTCCGCAAGGATAGTGACCGAAGCCTCAGCGATATTGTGCTTCTTGCATTCGAGCTAATCACAACCATTATATTCGGATTTGCTCTACGCCAACGGGCAGCAACCGCTTCCGCGGAGGACAGTATCGGACCGCTTGAGACGCCAGGCTTAAGTTTGATAGCTGTGCTGATCGCGCAAGAAGCATGGATGCTTTACTCTAGGACCTCTGTTCGTCGAATGAGCAATGGAAACGCTCCATCCCCGCCTATTCCGCAACCAGCGGCTGCGCCTGACAAATCAGACCGTCAACAGCCCTTCGTGGGAAGCAGCATGTCCTCATCTAGACAGGATCCAAAGGTTGGAATGGGGACAGCTTCCAACGGTCAACATACCCCGGCATTATCACAGCGCACGACACGCTCCAGGACGAAACTGGAGAATGATGCTCGTGCTCCAGGTGGGTTTGGTAGCCTCTCCCTTGGTGGTAATGCCAGGAATGAGCAGGCGCTAGGGATGAACTCCTTGAATATATGGCAACCACAGAGCAAGAAAGGAAAGGGAATGTGGTGATTACGAGGACAGATTTTTTAGAAAGCATGATGTTTGGTAAAGATCATGATTAGGTGCAGCTTTACGACCAACATAGCGGGCGTCTTGGTATGTTTGAAAAATCTTTTGGATAGCGAAGCATAGCGCTGGCGTCAAATGGGACGACATCCCTTAACTCTTTATGTTGACCAGCATGCCATCTACCTCCCGTTTCCGAAAATCGTTGTGAATACTGCTTTTGTAAGCTTTTGCTCCTCTCCGCCCCGTCATTGATGTCGGCAACGCTGTGTCTCTTGCTATCCGCACCCGGTTGACTGCTTCCAAATCTCGTCTACGTTTCCTCACTTGCTTTGCTGTCAACACCCATCGGTGTCGCAACGCAAATCGGCGATTCCGCCAGCGAAATGGGACCGGATAGGGGGTGGCCCGGCACTAATGGCGCTACAGAGGAGCGGGGAGGACATCTTCACGGTTCAGCATACCGACCAGGACCGGACGTCTGGAGTGCAGCCATGTCTAACCTGTCCATGAAAAGGGTGCGAGTGGATACTGATGGCGATGCGGCAATCCTCTCCAAGTCTTCGGACGATTACCGGAAAATGACAGCGAGGACCTGTGGCACGGAATGGTCCAAGGGGGGGGGTTGGTTCCAGCGGCTCGAGGCAATATCACGTAGGATCGGAAGCGTCAGTCACTATCGGGGAGACAATCGCCAAAGTCACAGAGCAGACGCCATCTCACAGCTCCTTGGGTACGAAGAAGAGCGCTCGCTGGTGACGCTGAAACAGATTGGGAAGACCATCGTTCTGAGTGGTAGCGATAGGATGGGCCGCGAAGTCGTCGATCAGTTGTATCACGATGGTCAACCTCTGGACAACGGTATGCATTATGTCGTTGAAGGCATGAGTGAGGATGAGACGGACAAGACGCGCAGTGATCAGGAGTCCGTTGACGAAGTAAATGAGTTGTTGGAACTTGGACGGAACCACGATATGTATGAGACGTTGGACCAGCTCTTGGAGAAGCCGGGCGTAGGAGTGGTTGATGAGAGGTTTCAAGGGTCTGAAATGGACGTTGAGACCATGGAAAGGACAACGCCGGTGAAGCAGGCTCGCAAGAGTCAAAAGCTAGGTTACGTCGAGATATGTGCCAAGGTTGCGGATGTGGGAACTCTCAGTGTCCTGTACGTATTTCCGGAGTTCTTTGATCCCCCTTTGGATCAGACGTTCAGTCGTGAGTTGTGCCATGGGTGTGTTCTCTTAGACTTGTTTCCAGGCTCGAAATCCCATCGTCACGAGGCAATGAATGCTGACCCTACTTTATTCAGTCCATGGTTGGGGCGATGAGGATGGGCTGCTTCCATACTGAGAATTCAAAGACGGTTCAGCCTGCTGTATCATTCGTACGGATCGGTCCAGCTTCCACAAAGGAGCTAAATGGTCCTGGACCGTTTCGCGGACTAATCGTCTGGCCTGGCCCAGACCAGTACCTCTTGGACCTGCTCGAGGTTATACCGGACGGGTCCAAGGTGTGTGCACGCACAGACTGAACCGCTAGTCTGAGGGGTCTGACGTGTCCACATTGAGAATACACAACAGTTCGTCCCATCAACTTCTGTTCTGTACGTAGACAAAGGTAAGTATTGAAGCCTGGCTTCTACCTTCAGACCTCGATGACTTCGACGTCGCATATTCTTTCCTTGAGTGATCGGCTATGCTTGCCGACAATGTGTCTTTCAGCTTGAACAGTGATAGTAATCTACTCTTCGCGCAGTGCTAGCGCTACTGCCATCGCCCCTCAAGCTCTGAATCTCATTCTCAACAACGCCAAAGACTTATGCGGCTATCACACTACTTTAGGTCAAGATACTTGCCAATGCAACCGTGATCTTCGTACTATTCTCATTTTGATGCCCTCATAGGGCATTATCTCAAGGATGATTGGTCTATGTGCCGCCTTCGATTGTATTCGCGGTGTCGTAACTTCCAAGCAATCCCGTGGCCTCACCTGGCAAACCGTCTCGCGAGCTACGGAGTTCATCGATCCAGAGTCCGCCATCTTGGATATAAAAGGCCGTTAGAGATCCTGCTAAAATGCCAGATTACAATCTTTGCTGCATCAGAATTATACACTTTCTCGCAACTCCAACATACCACGATCAGAACAAGCATTTCTGCTTCAGCTAATAGCAATGAGTGAAAACATCAAAGTCGCTGGCGTGCACGCCGAGCCCGTGTGGGGTGACCTCCAAGGCTCCGTGAAGCAGGTGGTCGAGCTCATTTTGGAAGCGGCCAATAAGGGAACGAAGGTGTTTGGTCTCCCTCAACTTTTTGTGCCGGGATACCCGTGGTAAGCTGTATTGATTATGAAAGACAGCCATTTGAACCCTCATGCTTATGGTTAGCGTTGGACGATTTGGACCCCAGCGCTCTTTTCGAGTGTCGAGCACCGTATTGACTACATGAGAAACTCCATGCCCAAGGTTTCCCCTGAGATGGCTCGCAATCAGAGCGCCGTGAAGGATGCGGGCATGACAATTGTGTTGGGCTATAGTGAGAGAGGGGGGAACAGTATTATATGAAGCGCAGGTGAGGATGACTACCGACCAATGTGGAGCATTGCCGATCTTTATGTCAAGCCTTCATGAGCTGAATGGAGAGATTCTGCACAATCGCCGCAAGATCAAGCCAACCCAGGTAGAGAAGAGGCTTTTTGGTGAGAGGCACTCTGAGATATACGGGCCTGATGGATCGCCATTGGGCCCACATGAAGAGGGAATGCTGTATGCTGAAATTGATCTTGCGAAAATTGAGATTGCGAAACATTTCCTGGACACCGTGGGACATCATGCGCGCCCAGCCTTGTTGACCCTCAAAGTCAATACTGCTCCAATCAAGCATGTTCATCATGTGCAGTAGCCGGGTACATACTCTAGCTCCCGTGCAGTGTTGCAGATTCGAGTAGTTTATATGTCGTATTAATCTGTACCTTACTTCGTGACCCCCGTATACGCCATCTATTTTTATCTCAAAACCATTGAAACATTAAGTCCTTGTCTGTGAGTAGTGTAGAGCAGAAGTCGTAAACACGTCTTACGTACGCTTGCGTGGCTGAAACGCCCAACTGTCGGTTGGCATCACCTCGCTTCTTCTTCCTTCTTAGGATTTCTCCATAAGGCACCAGAGGTAAACAGTAACATAAGACTACCTATCAAACTTGCTCAAATCCTAACTTATAATAACAATGGCTTCCTGTCCCAGAACCGTTGCCAATCTCTTGGTGTACGACCTCAACATCTCCACAGAATTCTTACCGATGCTCTCCTCCTCTCGTCTAAATCCCATTTGATCGACCATCGGATGCCTCGATGCGCTCTCAAATCGTCAACCGGCTCCGCAGCAACTCTACTCCTTTGAACTCAGTACCCCCTGCATCTACATCGAATGACTACTCGACTGATCTCGCCAATCTCGCAGCTCGCATCATCTACCGTTCCCCTCTACCTTCACAGAACGATCTTCCTGTCTTCATACTGAATGGCGGCGCTTTCCCAGATGCCAAAACAACTGACTACGATGTCCTGCTACCCTACGTGCTATCTAGACTACCGGACGATGAAGAGCTGATTGGTGGGCATGGCTACGAAGTGGTCTTCTTTGCAGGAATTGGGGGCAATGCAACCAAGCAAACCAAGAAGGCAAAACCTAGTTGGCAATGGTTTATGCAGGCATATCATATGTTGACGAGGGCGAAAAGGAAGAGGTTGCAAAAGCTCTACATTGTGCATGACAAGAATTTCATCAGGCTGTTGATCGAATTCTTCGCTTCGGTCGTCTCCCCAAAGTTCAGGAAGAAAGTCATCAGTGTCTCCACATTGAGCGGGCTGGCTCTGCAGATTCCAATCGAGGACTTGTTGATTCCTCCATCTGCCTATTTGACCGACCGTCGGAAGTCTTCTGACATTTACGCGCCATACGCAAGTGGGCGGAGAGCTTTTGGCGTCCAGAATTTTCTTCCCGCCTCCGCGGATGGGTCAGTCAGACTGCCAAGGGTACTACGAGAAACCACAAGCTTTGTCATCATGGACGATAACATCAAGGCCGAGGGTATCTTCCGTGTCAGTGCTCGGGCTCAGACTGTAGAGATTTTGAAGGAAGCCTACGATCGAGGTCAAAAGTTCATCGTATGGAAACAAGTTGACACGGTCTTAGCGTCTAGCTACTACAGAGAAGGCTTTGGACATGTCTGGGTAGAGGAGCTAGACCAGGCCGAAGGCTATGAACTTCATATTGCGGCAGTCTTGATCAAGCTTTGGTGTACGTATTTTCGAAGTTCATATTTCCTCCTTTGAACCAAATACTGAGTCTTGAGAGATGTCATGGGAGTATCAATCCTCTAGACGTGTTCCAAGGCTCGCTATACCCCTTCGAACAAGCAAGACTGACTCCGAAATCGTCATCTAGACAAGGAGCTGAGGGAGCCGATCTTCCCGCCGTCTAGCTATCAAGCGTTGGAAAAGTACTACGGAAGCCCCGAAGTCTCTCTAGAGGTCCAGCAGTTGTTGGCAATGCTCTCTGAGGATGATGAGTGGTCGCCGATCAGCAGCAAGAAGTCAAGGCAGATCTTGAAGGTGCACCTTCTCCCTCTGCTCTCCAGAGTTGCGGCCTTCCAAGACCAGAACCAGATGACTCCGGAAAATCTGGCTGTTTGCTTCGCCCCAAGCCTGCTATGTGGTCCGGATCCGATCGAGGATCTTAAGATATCAACTATCGTCCGCCGGATCCTCGTGGCCATGATTGTTCACTGGGAAGGTGACCTTGCGCCTTTATTTGGCACCAGCTTCGATATGTTCGAGGACTCACTACGCATGCCAGAGGCTGCCGAAGATAGGGAAGATCCTCTTGAGGAAGCTCGAATGAAGGACTTAGACGAGACTCACTCGGTTGGAATCACCCTTCTAAATAATGATGACAGCGACGAAGGGATGGAGACCCAACCTGCCTTGCCGCCTCGGCCAAAGGCAGCAACAGTCACTGGTGGTATACTTGAGAAGCCGAACGATTTCGATTATGATGCAACCAGCAGCACGAAATCTGTGAGCTTAAGCCTGTCTAATCGCATCAGTCCCGTAAGAAGGAAGCCGTCACCTTTCGATAATGCTCCTTTCAACGGCATGAGCCATACCGACAATGACACTTTTACTGAAAGTAGCCCTTCTGATCCTGGGCCAACAAACTCGACAAGCTCGGTACGTCGCAAGCCTGCGCCAGCCCTGCTCCCGCTTCCACGGTATTCATCCATCATCAGTGACCGCTCAGCAGTCTTGCAGGGGATACAGTATTCTAACACTGTGCCAATCGAGGATGATGATTTCGTGGAAGAGCATGAAATGAATGACGCTGATGACCTACCACTGTACGAGGCGCAAGTACCGCTCTATAGTGAGCCGACTCGACCTCCTCCTTGTCCTCCACCCGAATCTGAACCGACTCGACCTCCACCACCTCCTCCACCTGTAGCTGAGCCATCTATTCAACGGAAGCCCTTGCCTAAACCGGCACCATGGGGGTAAAGAAATTTCGACTGAACACGGGATTTGAAGATCGAGATATTGAAACGCCGAGACTAGTCGAAGTCTGCGGAGATGGCTGATTGTAGCTTGAGCAACTGAGAGCGATACCCCTATGACTCGAGTCAATGCTGCTCGCCCAATTGATAGGGGAGTGAATGAGTGTTGTACACGAGCTTCATTTAAGGAAGAGGCACAGATCCAGGACATCAGTAACCCCAGAAAGGCTTGAGGACGGACTTGCACAGATTCCTATAATATTACCTAATGCGAGGGATATATTCTTTACGCCATCAATGCAATGCGTACCCTCCTCAAGTCAGATATGTACAGTCTCCAAACTTAAAACACTGCCCAGGATCATCATGCAGCATCATTCCCATCCCCCTCCCGCTTCCCCACCGCATAGACCAGTCCCCCACAGACTAGATTGATAGTGCACAAGCCCATCGTCGCCCCCCTTATCAACCCCCTAGTGCCAAACTTCCTCGCTAAATGCTGTTTCCTCCGCCTCGCTAATAGCATATATAACCCCGACCAGGCGGCATTGAGACCCGCGGCGTCAGTTTTGTAATCATAGATGTTGAGGTATGTGCTGAAGAGGAGGACGGGGGGGAAGAGCAATGGGAGGATTTGAGGGGGCCGGAGAGCTTGCGCTGTGATCAGGGCGGCGAGGGCGGTGGGTGGGACAGGTGATTCTAGAGATTGATACCATCCGTTAGAAGAGTGCTTTCACGCTAGCTTGCAGACGGGTTTGTATTTCGAGAGAAGTGATTTACCTCCCCAGACTTTGGCGTGGACAATGGCGGACGTTTTGGCTTGTTCTTGGGTCTCTTTGTCTGCCATGGTTCTATTGGGGAGAATTGTGGTAGTGGTTGAAGGTTCGAAGAAGGTATCTAGGCTCGTGACCTGCGATAGGTTCTGCAGTGTTGTTTTTCATCACCGGTGCGGAAGATTGAACACTCCGCTAGCGGCTTGGCATGAAGCGGATGTTGATACCACCATTGCTGATGTGAATTAAGTAACCTCACTTCAAAACATACTCTGCAACGAATCAGAATTAAGCCATTTGGTCTTTTCGCCCCACCATCGCTATAGATAAGATCAGTAACCTAGTCATTTGCTAAACCCTCTTTTTTTAACACAGAGTTTGAGAGATGCCCGCTGCGACGGCATCAGGCGCCGACGCAACACCAAATGGTAATGCAGCAAAGAGTCGAGATCACAACCAGGGGAATCAGGAGAGAAAATACACAGTGGAGCAAAAGGCAGCGGTGATAAGAGTACGGAAATGCTCGGCAACAGCATTCTACGAGATTCTGGGGTTGGAGAAGGCAGCCTCGGATGCGGAGATCAAAAAGGCATACCGGAAATTAAGTCTTCTGACACACCCGGATAAGAATGGCTATGATGGGGCGGATGAGGCTTTCAAGAGTGAGGCTTCTTTGTATAGACATCAGCATTAAGAGAAGGCTGACAGAAGGCTGACAATAAATGACCGATTACAGTGGTCTCGAGAGCTTTCCAAGTGCTGTCAGATGCGGAAAAGAAAGAGAAATATGACCGCTTTGGAGGCGACCCGGACAACCGATTTGGCCCTGGTGCTGCTGCCCCTTCATCACCTTTCAGTGGATTCGCCGCAAGATCACCAGGGGGGAGGGGACCCATGTTCGAAGATGAGATATCACCGGAGGAGCTATTCAACAGATTTTTTGGCGGCGGCGGCATGGGTGGCGGACCTTTTGGTAGGTTATGGGCTCAGAGAAAGAAACGGGCGGCTTACTGACGCCAGAACAGGCGGTGGAGTCCCTATGTTCAACGATGGTCCACAGTATGTATTCAACCTAGGAGGCGGTCCCGGCTTCCGCGTACACCAATTCGGCGGTAATCGACCAAGGCGGAGGCCAAGAGAGGCGAACGGCACCGGCGAAGAACAACCGCGAAGCACATTGGGTGCTCTGTCAAATCTCCTCCCACTCCTAATCCTTTTCGTCCTCCCAATACTATCCTCACTTTTTTCCTCGGCGATGCCGAGTGGTCCCAATATACATTTCCAACCTGGCCCTCCGAATACAATGCACCGCACTTCGCAACGGTTAAGGATCGACTACTATCTGGATCCAAGGGATGTCGTCGACTACAGTGGCCGGAAAATGAACGATCTTGACAGGCAGGCTGAGAATCAATTCGTGACGCAGCTACAATATGAATGTCAGATAGAACAGCGGACACGGAATACCATGATAGAGCAGGCGCAGGGTTGGTTTTTTCAAGATGCAGATAAGATGAGGGAAGCGAGAAATTTTGATATGAGGAGCTGTAAGCAGCTAGATACGTATGGTCTTGCAAGGAATAGTTACTAGTGTTCGTTTTTTATATGGGGATCGATGCAAGCAAGGCATGGCGTGGTGTTGTTCTGGACGTGTGGTTATGCTACGATGTCGATGTTGATGCAGGAGGCTTGATAAAGGCTTGCCTCAATTGTATGTGTACCTAGATGAGCCGTCCATACATGACAAGCATTTGTTAGCTCAAGCATGCCAGCCTGCCAGGAGACTAATCTCTCTCAAGTGTACTGCGTCTGATTTTCTTAGGGCTGCGTTTATAGGCGGATCCAGAATGTCGGGCCGCGTTTATGCCAAGAGTTCAAATTTCTAGGCTGGAGTTCCCGCCCCTAAGCTCCCGTTCCAGGGCGTGCTAATACGTTCACTAATGACCTCAGCCGGATGGATTCTATGGCTTTCTATCAACACTCGTTAACATCACATTCACCGCTTATTTTTGATCCACGCAACCCGGTTCCACTTTCTCTCTTCACAGCATGGCCGACTCAATGACAGATGCGGAGAAAGTAAGATAAATCCCGTACTGTGGCAAAGGGCATGACTAATTACATACCTAAGATCCGTAACAAACGTCTGGCAAAGTTAGGTTCCCAGGCTCCCGCACAGCCAAATCCAGCTGGGGAGGGTAGCATGGATAACACATCAGCGTCACAATCCTCGCCCACTCCCAATGCACAGGCAGCAGCCCCGCAAGAGAGAGAACAGCCAAAGCCCCAGATCAACATATCGAGCTCGTCGAATGCCTCCACATCACCCCAAAACCCATTCGCTCAACTCGGCATGCGACAAGCAAACGGCGGAGCTCCTAAGATCAACATCACATCCTCAGCTGGCAGACCAGTAACGCCCAAGAAGCGTGACCGACCAGCCTCTTCAGGCGGCAGATCGAGCTCAAGGGCAGGGGAGACCTTGGAGCAGTGGGAGGATCGAGTACTGGGGAACCTATTTAAAATTACGTTATGGGAGGAGCACCACCGCGACGCCCACGGAAACCATCTGCAATTCCTAGAAGGTACCCGTCTGGATCTGGAGGACTCTGGTCAATCGGTCAGACTGAATGTGGGAATGTTGGACCAAGCTCTCCTTGAGGCGACATCGAACCTGAAGCACGGAGTTACGCCTCTGGACTTCTTACTGGGATGTTGGAAGCGAGTTTCCAGACAGTACAAGGCTTTAAGGAAAGCTGGAGAGGAAGATCCTAAGTTCGTAATAGTAAAGGAGGCCAGAAGATTGTGTATGAGCTACTGCATATTTGCAATTACCATGCCTGATATGTTTGGGTGAGTGCATCTCTTCCTTGCACTAGGATTATAAGGTACTAATCATGGCATAGCCTTGAGACATCGGCATCCAATCCCCTCACGCCACATCTCCTGATAGATGATCCGGAAGACGACAGATTTGTTGACCATGACTTTCTTAATGAGGCTGTCGCTCGTTTTGCGGAAGATGATACAGTTCAAGACGCACTGGTCGATGCAGTTGAAGACTTAAGTCGGCGATTATCGGTCATAAACATGAACAATGACTACAAACCATACATATTGGTAGGATCTAGGTCGACATGAGTTCTCGCAAACATAGGTAACTGATTGATAGGCGTTACGAAATCTTGTCCAATACCCGGCAATAGTCAACGCTTTTGTTCAGTCGCCAAGGTTCGTTCCGTCTATCTCAGCCGCATTACTGGAGTCTGGCACGCTGCTCGGTCCTTTCTTTGCCATCTCACCTTTGCAAGCAGACGTCACTACTAATTACTTCTCAAATCCTACATCTCGAGATAAAGCATACATTCTCAACTCTCAAAGAGCCTTGCGACTCACGAGTCAGACCCACCAGACCGACCTCCTGGATATCGCTAATCGAATTATCAAAACAAGCAAGGAAGCTAGAGATAAGATGCTTGACTGGTTTGCTTTGTGTGTCAATGCCAACCATAAGCGCCGTGCACTACAAGTAGACAAGAAGTTAGTCTCCTCGGACGGTTTCATGATCAATGTTACTGTGTGCCTAGATCAGCTATGCGAGCCCTTCATGGATGCCTCGTTTTCCAAAATCGACCGCATAGACGTCGATTATCTACGCCGCTCACCACGGGTTGACATCCAAGACGAAACAAAGCTGAATGCCGACCAGAATGCTTCTGATAAATTCTACAGCAGTCCTGCTGAGGGAATTTCGAACTTTATATCAGAGATATTCTTTCTAACACTTGCTGCACATCACTATGGAACAGAGTCTGCCAATTCAATGCTAAGCACACTTGAGAAGGAGCTTGAACGTATGAGAACGCATCTTGGTGAGATCGAGCTCGATCGGCATAAATTCGTTAGCAACCCAGTCAGGTTGAACATATTCGAGAAAGCCATCAAGAAGTACAAGGATCAGATCGACAAGGGCATGTCTTACAAGCTCTCCGTGGAAGGTGTCTTGCTTGACGATCTGACACAAGCACGATCCATGCAATTCATGCGATATGTCATCGTGTGGCTACTACGAATTGTGGCTCCAGGTCAAGATCTCCCAAAACGCCCACTGAAGCTGCCTTTGCCCAAGGAACAGCCAGAGGTTTTCAAGTGCTTACCCGAATACTTTCTGGAGGACGTTGTGGGTAACTTCAAGTTCATCATGCGGAATATGCCTCAAATCGTTACGTCCACGCAGAGTGATGAGCTGGTCATGCTCTGCATCACGTTCCTCCGAAGCTCAGAGTACATCAAGAATCCGTATCTCAAGTCTGGCTTGGTTACCATCATGTTCCATGGCATCCGGCCAGTCTACAACCGGTCCAAAGGAATACTAGGAGACCTACTAAATTCTTTACCTTTCGCTACTGAGCACTTACTACACGCATTGATGAAATTCTATATCGAGGTGGAGAACACAGGCGCGCACACCCAATTCTACGACAAATTTAATATACGCTACGAAATCTTCCAGATCATCAAGTGCATTTGGTCGAACCCTATCTACCGCGAACATCTCTCCGACGAAGCCAAAATCAATCTCGACTTCTTCGTCCGCTTTGTCAATCTCCTTCTCAATGACGTTACTTTCGTCCTGGATGAATCGCTGACAGCTTTTGTACAAATACATAATCTGCAACAAGAACTCAAACGTTCAGCCGACATGGAGCAAAACGTCCGTTCGGAGAAAGAAGAGGCGCTCACTCAAGCCCAAGGGAAAGCGAAGTCCTATATGCAACTCACCAACGAGACGGTAGCCATGCTGAAGCTCTTCACTGAAGCTTTAGCAGGCTCGTTCACGATGCCCGAGATTGTACAACGACTGGCAGACATGCTAGACTATAATCTTGATGTGATGGTAGGCCCGAAGAGCAGAGACTTGGTCGTCGAGAACCCACAAAAATATAGCTTCGAACCAAAACTATTACTCTCCGAGATTGCAGACGTCTACTTGAACCTCAAAGATAAAGAGAATTTTGTCTATGCTGTGGCAAGGGACGGGCGATCATACAAGCCTGCCAATCTGGATCAAGCA